TGAGCATCTAAATTCAAGTGTAACAATGGATTAACTTCATGGTGTTAACAAAAAGCTATAGGTTAAAAAAATGAATTAAAACAAAAATAAGAAACCCTATACCCTGAGAAGACCTTTAGAAAGCAGCCTGGTTATAGGGCTTCTTATTTTTGTCGTTATTAGATTGACTTTAGATTAATAACTGTTTCAAAGACTGCTATATTTGTATGATTCTGTACGACGTTTAACATGAGTTTAATACAAGTGTGGAGTGAAAGTGACATTGACTCCTCTTTTATTATAAAACTTCTAAAGGTTTCCATTCATTGCAAAATGTATTTGACAAAAAATTAAATCTGTAAACATCATGCCACCTTCAGACATAATCTGTTGTAAGATTTTAATAAAATATTTTTTTAATTTCTGTAGCAAAATGTTATGAATTTATTGAGTAAAGCCAAGAAAGGGCTATATTAAGTGCCAAGTTTAGAAACAACAATAGTTTTGTTTTACTTCTCTGAATTTATTTGGAAGTTACATACTTTATTGGTAGGTGTTATTTAACAATTTTTTTATTGATACAAAGTTTCTCAAAGTGAAATATAAGGTTTTCCTCCTGTCTGCATGGCTTTTATATTTACTTTCACATTGTGTCTGACACATACAACAAGCTGTATTAAACCTGAAGCTTAATAAGCTAAAGTAAAATAATGTTACATGGTCAAGAAACATAGCAACATGAAAGGTACCCAGCAAGTATGAAGGGGGGAATCCAAGATTTTGGTTAATGCCTGTAGGAGGACCACAATCATGGGTTGCTATTGCAATGACTTCTTTAATTTTTCTCTTTTTGGTATCACAGTCCTGGTTATTATTTTTATATTCTTGAGGTCAGCATTTTGGTTTTCCTCTCAAGCATATAATGCAATGGCAGAAGTATCTACAGAAGCATGTGCGATGTCTGATGTTCTTTCATCCTAATGTTAACAGGACGTTTTGTCTCTCCAATGTATTCTTTTTTATAATCACATGATACATTGTAGACAACGTTTTTTTACGTGGAAGTCGGATGTAGTCAAGATATTGCATAGATATTCAGGCTCTTGAACACAGTTTGAATGTTAAAGGTATCCATTATTCTTTTTATTTTTCCTCCAAGTCCTGGAAAGTAGTGTATCACTATCCTATGTTTATTTTCTGATTAATGGGGTTTTCCTCATTAAAGAATTTTTTGACACTTTTGTTATCAATTGTTTGAGATAGTTATCATTAATAAAAGTCTGTTGAAGCTGTAGAATTTCAGTTTCTATGTATTTGTTGCTGCATATTCTACACACTCTGCATGCTAAGGTTTTAATGATAGTTTTTTAACAGATACAGGGTGACAGGATTTGAAATTAAGATATTTGTTTGTATGGGTTGCTTTTCGATGAACAGTAGTTTTTAGTTTCAGATCATCGCTATTCTTTACAACCAGTACATCCAGAAAAGGTAAGGAGTTACTTGTCTCTGCTTCTAAGGTAAATTTTAATGAAGTGTGTTGATTATTTAGATGTAATAAAAACTCATCCAAACTTCGTGTGTCATGTTCCCATAACTCAAAAATATCATTAACGTATCAAAGCCAAAGTCAAGGACGTTGTAGTGAAGATGAAACGGCCATAGTTTCAAAATGTTGCATATAAATTTCAACAAAAACACGAGAGAGAAGAGAGCCCATTGGAGTTCCATCCTTCATTTTGAAGTACTGATAGTTCCAAAGAAAATAGCTATATTTTAAGCATAATTCTAGAAGTTCGATAGTATTCATAACTGAAATTAGTGTTCTGTCAGGGAGTGAGACATATTTATTTGGTAAATCTTCTATATTACTGATAGTATCAGAGACAGGAACTCTCGTGAACAGGGTTACTAAATCAAAATTAACTAGGATGTCATCATTATTAACCTCTTTGTCCATAATAATCTCAACAAACTGTGGTGAGTTTCTTAAAGAGTATTTGGAATTTCCAGCTAAAGGTTTCAAAGTATTAGACAAAAATTTTGTGAACTTATAGAATCAGTATAGCATACAATGGATCATAGAGGTTGGGTTTGTCAATTTTTGGAAGACCATAAAACGTGGGAGGAGAAGATAACCATCAATACATATCTTTTGTAATTTCTTCTGCTCTTATAAGTTGTGAAATAAAGTTTTCATAGTTTTCTAGCAGGGTCTGATTTTAAGAACATGTGTACAAGGTCAGATAATAAATCAGTTACCTTCTTTTCATAATCTTCTTTGTTCAAAGGATAGTAGAGTTTCCTTTGTCCACTGGCAAAATCACATTCTTCGAGACTGATGTTCTTTACAGGTTTTTGTTACGTCTAAACATTTTTTTAATGGTTTCCTTGATTTTAAAACAAACTTCAGTAGCAGCAGGTTCTTTTAAATGACTGACAACTTCTTGTGTAGCAGCAATAATATCCAAGAAAGGTACACTGTTAGGAGTTGGAGCAAAATGTAAACCTAACGATAAAACACTTTCTTCACAACTAGTCAAATCCTTATCACTCAGATTAACAATAGGCTGTTTCTTTAGTGTGGAATGATATGATGCTTTCTGGTTTGCTGCATTAGGGTTTTGAATTTCTTGATATGTCTCTCTTTTACATTGTTAAATTCATGCTCAGTTTTTGTATGTGTAATTCTGTCAATATTTTGAAAATCTGGTTTATTATCTGACCCTGTATACATACTGTTAAAATCAGACCTACTAAAAAAACTATGGATGAACTAAACAAATTTCTTTCACAAATTATGAGAGCAGGAGATATTCCAAAAGATACTTATCAACAGTTATCTTCTCATCATTGTTCTTTAGCTGGAAATTCCAAATACCCCTTAAGAAATTCACAACAGACTATTGAGATTATTCGGGACAAAAAGGTTAATAATGATGACCTGTTAACATTAGGTTGAAAGAACATCAAAGAGACATCACTCATGCTTCTGTAGATACTTCAGCCATTGCATTACATACTAGAGAGGAAAACCACAACATTGACCTCAAGAATATAAAAATAATAACCAGGACTGTGATACCAAAAAGAGAAAAATTAAAGAAGCCATTGCAATAGCAGCCCATGATTGTGGTCTTCCTACAGGCATTAACCAATACCATGGATTCCCCCTTTATACTTGCAGGTTACTTCTCATTAAAGAAATCAAACCATGCATTGACTCTAATACTGTTATGAAAGTAACCTAAATTTTATTCTTTATTATTTTGTTGTTGTTCTTAATTAATTAATTAATTTTTACTGTTGATTTTATCTTTCTAGCATTATGTTAACAAACCACAATAATAATAATAATGCTTGCTATGTTTCTTGACTTTGTAACATTATTTATTGTTTTTTAAATAATTTCAAATATTTTTCGTGATAGACAGTACAATTGAGGAAATATAATCAAATTATACATCCAAGAAATCTTTAATTATTCACTTTATCTAGTTCATATTAAAATAGGCTACTTCATACCTGGATTTATTTTAAAATCCATAATATTTTCAGACATACTACTTTTAAGTTTTAGCATTACTTTGGGTTTTTCACCATGCACAGATAGAACTTTTGAGAGAGTTTGGTGGCAGAAGAGTACATGTTACAACAATGAGCAAATCAGTTAGGTCCATTACATTTGTGATTCAATATGACTAACAGTTTGATTTATTTATTATAAAACTGGGATGTTTTGTGTGTCCTGAGAACTTTTATTGGGACACTGGGTCAAATTACCAAAAAATGGGACTGCTCCTGCAAAACTGGGAGGTCAGGTCACCCTAGTGATATCCATCAATTAGTCACTGTTTACAAAGCAGTTTGCTTCGTTCTTGTAGTATTGTGTGTAATATCACAAAAGAGTTATAATAATCACATCTTTTCCAGGCCAATAATAGTGTGCATTAACAATAGTGTCTAAAAAACATTTCAACTGTACTTGTATGCCACTGTCATTGATGCCTTTTCCTCAGTACCAGAGTTCATCAGTCAAGCTTTACAGTGTAGAATATCTTAGTTGATGAAGCATGTCATTTTGATAGTAATACGTGTGTGATACAACATCACAGCAAGATTGGTAACAATTAGGTTCATCATTTTTCACTTGGCCATTGTAGGTTTCCAGTAAAAAGTGTGTACTAGCATTTTATGTACACTTTATATCAGTTGTTTATGGTACAAGGGCTAGTTACATCATTCATTTATGGGAAGAGATGGAAAACTTTATGAAAGATTTGATGTGTACTCACTTAGAACTCTTTTTAAGTAAATTAATCAGATTGTAAGCATAGCATAGTAAGTATGGTAAAGTAAGTAATGGTGCACAAAACAATATTCATACCTTTATTATTTCTGTATTCAACAATAAAAGTAATATTTTGTGAACAGTAATTTTATGGTTAAAACATTATATGCTTCTTCAAACGTTAGTTTATGAGAATTACCATTACTGCTATTGGTGCAAGTATCTTTTTTAAACAATTAATGGAGAGTGAAACATTAGTTAATTTTAGAGGATAAACCTTTTCCCGGATAACATGTGCAGCAAGTGGTTAATAATGAATCATAGTAAAGCTCTGATATTAGTGTGTGCATTTTGTAAATACATGTATATATCAAAGAAATTATGCAGCTGTGACAACTATAAAGCAAATTATCTTTTCATCCCTTTGAGAAACTGTAGCTATGAGGCAAAGATGTATGAAAACATATTTTTGATCTACTTCCTGCAGAAGCCTTAAACTTAGAAGAATCTAAAAGAACATAGTGTATGTAAACAAACAGTGAAGTAGGAAATTAAATCTCTACAAGCTATTACAATAGTTTCAATGTTTGAGCTTCTTGTACACACTTTGGATTTATAAACCTAGATGATATTATTTATATCATTCAAAAGTTTTTATGATTCTCTGTTTTTTGGCTGATGTTTTGTAAAATAATTACTTTTATAACAAAACCTTTTTTTTTTTAATTAGGGTTGACTATGTAGACACTTTGGGAAGATCAAGGCGATGTATGTTGAAAGATCTTGCAGAATTAAAAAAGATGGATGATAACCTTAAGATTTCACAGATAAGGTAACAGAGAATTTTATCACTTTCTTTTTCTTTAACATTAACTCTCTCATTATGGGCTCAGTTGGTTTGGCCGATTTGTGACCCCAAATTAACCATTATAGTTTCCATACAATAATTTTTAATATCTGTTGTGTATCTTCATGAAGTTTTCAGTAAACATTACAAGTCTATTGAAGACAAAAAATCAGAATTTTTAATGAAGTATTTTTGCTAAAAAATTTCTCCATGAATATGTGGAGTCAAAGTATTGACTGCTCCGAGTGCAAAGTGATTTTTGTTTTAAGATTAAAAATACTTTTCTTCATCTGGATATTTTCAGATTTCATTTGCGTAACCTCTAAAACCTCCTAAATAAATATCAAACATTTTTCTTTTTCAGTAAAACCTTATATTTTATCTGTTATTTTTTGTACTCTAACTCTATATACATTCAATTAATTTGACCAACCTCGTAACCACCAAAACAAAATATGAAATAAATCTAAATTACCCTTTTTTTGTTTCTAGAATGACTGCAAATTGTAACACGAAATGGTTTGTTTATCCTAAATATCTTAAAGTTCTTAACAGTATGCATCTGTTTCTACTTAAATTTTAGTTCTTTATTGCTCTTTTAACCGTTTCTAGCCAATAATCCTGCCACACAAGTTGTAAGTTACTCAGCAAACATGTAGCTCTCATTACTATATCAAATTATGTAACACATAAGCTTATCATGAGCATATATCATGAAGCATTTATATTATTATTATTTTTCTTTATCTTACCTTATCTAACCTAAAAAGATTCTGATTTTTAGACATTAGTTAGTTTTATAATAATAAGTAAATAATACACGTGAAAAACAAGAAATCTAGTACTTAATTGGGTCTTCTTTTTCTTTACTGTTGACTGCTGAAGAAACTTAAGCCTACTTTTTTTTACTACTGTGTCAGTTTTATAGGACCAACTTCTCTATAGTAGGTGTCTTTGACTTGTTAGCAATAAATTTCAACAGTAAGTGGACAGCAACATTCCACTTATTTTAAAATAATATATTCAAAACAAGTCAAATGTATGTAGAAAAAAAATTATTATACTATTGGTTACCACAGTTGCATCCAGAGCTTTAAATAATTGTCTCCTTTTCATAAAAGTCCACACAGGTGGGTTCAATTACTTTAAAACACCCTTTGACAAGACAAATTATTCTTCTTTATCTCTGTTATTACAATACTAGCTGTGAAACTCACTTTAGAAATTGTCACTATGCGCTCTTTATGGCTAAACTCACAATCTTACTTCATTTCTTTTCCTTTCACAAACTTCCACTAATTTGGTCACCCATATATATTGCCTGACTGAGGCCTAGAACTTTCTACAAACTACGAGGTGGTAGGATGTAACAGTACTCACTTAAAACAACTAGAAAAATTTAGAAGGTTCAAGTAACATGATGTCAATTCACAGCAATTGAACTACACAACAAATCTTTTGTAAACAGTTATGTAAGCAAACTTGCAGTATCTATTGCTTCTAAAAATAACTTACTTTAATGCTTACATGATATAAATTAAATAATTCTCTCATTTGAAACTTAAAATGAACAGTCGTGTATATCTAATTATAAGCCCCTTTTCAAGAAAAATATTTACAATATTCACACTATGTACAAAGACTGTTTTTAGTTTATATACAAAATCTACTTATACAGTCTGCACCAATGTTTGCAGTATCATTGATGGTTTCAATGCAGAACTGGTAGTTTTGGAGATACAACACTGAACTCATGATCCTTGCACTATTGAATTTGCATTTCAGGATGTATGCGAGGGTCTGATGATCCATCTGGATGATGAACTCCTTCCTATAAAGGTAGTTCTGGAACTTGCGGGTGGCAAATATGATGGCCAGACATTTTCACTTGGCCACAGAGTAGATATCACTATTCAACAGCTTTTTACTTATGGACATTACTGGAAGCAGTCCATCATCATGTTCTTGTAGGAGTACTGCTCTAATTCCAATGTCTGAAGCACCGTCCTGAACAATGAACGGTTTGTTGAAGTCTGGCATTTTAAGGATTGGAGAACTTCCCATCATGTTCCTTAACTTCTGGATGGCCTTCTGCTGTGGTTGTTTCCACTTCACCTTGTTGGGTAGGCCTTTCTTGGTGAGGTCAGTCAGTGGTGCAGCAACTTCAGCATAGTTTGGGATGAACTTCCTGTAGTATCCCACTGACCCCAGGAAGGATCTGACTTGCTATTTGGTCATTGGAGCTGGTGCATCTTGTATGCGTGTCAGCTTGTCTGCCATGGCAATCTGTCAGTTACCCAACTTATGTCAAACAAAGTCCACCACAGAATAACAGATGTAGCATTTAGATGGTCTGATGGTCAGACCTACTGCCCTCACTCGCCTGAACAACTCTTTAAGTTTCTTCAGATGGTTTTCTCATCTGGCCGTGTGGTTGAGAATGTCATCCACATAATGCTCGACATTGGTGGTTTTGTGCAACATCTTCCTCATCATGCGGTTGAAAGTTGGTACTCAGTTGACTAACCCAAACGGCATTCTCTTAAACTGGTAATGTCCGTCTGGTGTCACAAAGGCTGTCTTTTGATTAGATCCTGTCTCCATCGGGATCTGCCAATAACCTTTACTGGGGTCAATCTTTGAAAAGAACTTAGCTCCACCTAGTTTTGCCATGATAGCCTCTGGGTTGCCCATAGGTTTGGAGTCAAACTTCATCACAAGGTTCAGCTTCTGGAAGTCTATGCTGAAGTGTTTTGAGCCATCCCTCTTTTTCACGATTACCAGTGGTGAAAAATAGGCTGAATTCGAAGGCTTGATGATTCCAACTTCTAACATTGCCTTGACTCTTTGCTTAATCAGGTCTATCATTGCATTGGGCATCTGGTAGGACTTCACCTTGACTGGATCCCCAGTTGTGGTCTCGATCTTGTGTTACATGAAATCCGTCTTGCGTGGTTTATCTGTGAAGACATCTGTGTACTGACTGTGTACTAGCTCTTGTATGCCTTTCTTCTGCTTGCCAGTCAGTGTTTCACTTATGTTGATGTTCTTGTATGTATTGTCTCCACCCAGTAGTCTTAGGTCTAGTAGGTTTTCATCTTTTGGTTCTGCATCTATGGCAGCCATACCTGCAATATCCATCTGTGCCTCAATAGCTGAGCCTGATATGTCTTCTTCCCTTTTGAAGTACCTCTTCAACAGATTGCAGTGGTAGATCTTGGTCTTCCTGTCCACTTTCATTTTATAGTCCATTCTGTTGACTACTTCCTGCACCTCAAAAGGCCCTTTCCACTGCAGAGTGACTTTGTTGTTGGCTGTAGGTACCAGTATCAAGACCCTCTGTCCAACCTTAAAAAGTTGATCTTTAGCCTTCTTGTCATAGAAGTGCTTCTGACTGCCTTGAGATTCATACAAGCTCTTTCAAGCAAGTTTACAGGTCTCCTCAATTCAGTTTCTGAGGTCTAACACGTACTGGTATAGGTTCCTCACTTCTTCTCCTATCCACAGCTCTTTCAATACCTGCATCAGACCTCGTACTGTTTTTCCAAACAATAACTTGAAGGGTGAAAATCCTGTACTCACTTGTGGAACTTCTTGGTAACCAAATGATACTACCTTCAGGTACATGTCCCAGTCACTTTGTCTCTCCTGGCACATCTTTTTCAGCATGCTCTTTAAGACTCCAATGATTCTCTCACAGAGTCCATTACACCTAGGGTTGTATGAAGTGGTAACCAACTGCCTAGTGTTGGTGAGTCTGCACACCTCTTGCATCAGTTCTGAGGTACACTGGGTCCCTCTGTCACTCAAGACTTCTTTTGGAAAGCCTACTCTGTAGAACACTTCCAGGATGGATTCTGTTACTCTCTCTGTCTTCAGCAGTGCTATGGTTTCTGGATAATGTGTTGCATAGTTGATTACTGTCAGCACCTACCAGTTGCCCTTGTCAGTTACAAGTGCTAGTGGTCTGATCAAGTCCACAGCTGCTCTGCTGAATGGCTTTTCTATATGAGCCATCTCACCCACTTGCACCTTGGCTATCTTGACTCTAGATACTCTCCTTTGGCAGATGTCACATGACCTGCAGAATCTGACCACATCTTCGATGACCCCTGGCTAATGGAAGTTGCTGGTGATTCTGTCTGCCATCTTCTTTGTTTCTAGGTCTCCTCCTATAATCGACTCATAAGTCACTTTTGTCACTTGAGTTTGGTATTCTGTTGGTATTATGATCTGTTTAACTTCCCCGGTACAATTACCTCTACAGATCTTATACAGTGTTTCCTTCCGATCATCTATTCTGTAAGTTGCTTTCCCATTGGTCTTACACTCAACTTCCTCCCAGACACTTTCCCAAAGTTTCTGCAGTGAAGAGTTTTTCTTCTGTGCTTCCTTCAGTTCCTGTAGACCTACATTCAGGATGTAACTTTTTGAGACTTGAAGTGGCTTGATGTCTTGCTTAATTTTCTTTTCTTGAGTTCTAGTGGTGATTGCAGATGCTTCGTCAGTCTTCTTTCTGTCTGGTTCCTCCTAACTTCTACTGTCTGGTATATTTCTGATCACCAAGTCATAAATGGGTGCTCTCATACACATGACCTCAAGGTCTCACATTAAGTATGGAGTGTCCACCTTTATTCTTGCTATGGAAAATGTTCTCACTGTCCCATCAATCAGCACACACAGGTGTACCTTGTCTGTTATCTGGTCAATCAAATACTAGACTGGTTCTCACTGCTGCACTACTGCACCCAGTGTTTTGTAGGACTTTCACTTGCTTCTGACATAGTCTTCTGCATGTGGTGATTCATTAGCACCTCTCAATGTTTGTCACATGCTCCAATCACCACTGGCACTGCTACCAGCTTGCAAACTTGAGCTGACCATCAGTCATACACTGTTTAATCATGAAGACAGCATTTCCTTCTGGTGAATTTGAGGAGTTGTTTCTATTCTATTTCTTCTGGCAGCAGCTTCCATGGTTATAG